GAGCGTGCAGCGTCATATAACATTGTCAATCATCCAGAAAGGACTGCCAATGTGGTGCACTTTGCTGCCTGGATCAACTACTACACTATGGCCGATGAGCTGCTGTTCTACAACGACGAGTACGATGATCATAAGCCTGCAAAGCCTCCACCAAAGCCTCGAAGGCGACCTGCTACAGACCAACCTGGAGACTACGAAGCACGTGTGAGAGAGTGGGAGGCCTCAAAGGCACGCATACCAGTGGTACTGAAACCCAGAAACTCTATGAGAGTGTCATACTATGTGGAGAAGATTCTACCAGTATACTGCGCTGCATACAGTCATCTAGTCGCTCAGTCTGATGTACTCCGGGCTGAGGTACCTGTACAACAACAATATACTTGGTATCTGCAAGAAGATAACGACCCAAGCCATGGCACACGCAACTGCAACTCTCTGCCAGCAGTATATCGGCACGAATGTGGTGTCAAGGTGCTCTCACATCCAGCTAATTCACCCGACCTCAACCCTATTGAAGGCATCTGGAACATCATCAAGGAACGCGTCAAACGTCAACTATATACTATCAACACCATCACAGAGCTTAAGGCAGCACTACAACACGAGTGGAAGCAGGTTGGTCAAGAAATGGTGCAAGAGCGTATCAATGAGATACCCTATCGGTGTAGGCAGGTGTTTCAGCACCCCAGTGTTCGGTGCAAAACTGCGCTCTGGTAGAGCTGCAACACCACATAATTCGATCGTGATAGGATTGCATAGTATCTCAATAGCCTCAAGAATCAATTTCAGTTCAATCTGATGTATGTGGCTGCTGCGCAATGCAATTCTGTATGGCGAGTGCTAACAAAGTGACATTTGGTGGGGGTCAATTACATCAGCAAAAGTGTCCGAGATTTTTTGACTAGGGGGTGAGTTGGCCACATGGGTGAGTCAGCCACTTTTGCCAAGACCCCACCAAACCTCACCCCATTTTGGCCCAAAATAGCCTACATTGGTGCTGTATAAGGCAAAACAACCTTTGATATTACTTAAAGGCCTCTTCTACATCATTCTTGTATGTTCGTGTGTTGTGCCAAGCTAGCAGCGCCCTTGCTTCCGCTGGAGCTCTAGCTTTCAAAGTTCACGCTGTAGGAAAGTGTGACAATCGGACCATAAAATCTAAGCAGCAAGCTAGTAGAGTCATTGCCTACGCCAGAGATTCAACATTCTAAGTCTTCACTGTCGATAGCTTTCCGATTCCTAGCAAGCTCGTCTCGAGGTGACTTTAGGGTCTCCAAGAATTTCGGAGAAGTGCTGTTTTGATGCGAATGTGGGTACATATGAGCTCTCCTTTACAGGGAGGACTACCTTTTTCAGAGGAGGGACCCAATTAAATTCCATGAGCCCTCGCCACACAGAGTTCAGTAGCATCCATTGCCTTTTTCCTCAAAGCTGCCTTTGCAGGGATGGTTTAGAAAGTTCTAAACAGGTATGGCGAGGTGATTATCGCACCACCCCTTTCAATCCAATGCTCAGTAAATTAGTAGTCATCCCAGTCTGGACCGGTTTGGGTCGTTCCCCTTGTCTTCCCGGTCCAGCGAGAAAGCATTCGTGTTCCTCCTCATCTACTAGTCCTCTTTACTCTCTCTGTCCCTTGACATCTTCCACCACAACCCGCACCATGAAGCTCTGGGCGCTCCTGGCACTCGCTGCCTCCGTTGCAGTCCAGGCCTTTCCCCTTAGAAGACCACAAGGCTGAACTGCACACACGCGATGGTGATGTAAAGAAACACTTCGGATATCGTGTGGTCTCAAAGGTTTGTTCCCCATTTCATTCCACTCTCTACTCCATTCTATATTCCATTCCACATCCTCCGTAACCCGGCGACCAAACCAACTCACCTCCCAGGCCGAAGCCGAAGCCATTCATAACAACGGCGGCAAAGCCGTGCAGTCCTCAGGCAACGGGGGCCGCCAGATTGGCCCGGGTCTTTACATCTTGAATTCATTCCAAGCCTGGGAAGACAATGACCCTAATGGGGACGTTCAATGGGATTGCGTGGTGATGGTTGACGCCGACGAATGGGACAAATGGAATAAGGTCTACCTCCCCGAGCTTTTCACGTTCCCCGAAGACGCGGAGAAACAAAAGAACACGTGCAAGCCACTTGGGCTGTGGAACATGTTTCCAACAAGCAGTACGTGTTCAATTCCTTTTCTTCCTTTTGGGCTTGCTGTTGATACTGACGCATCGGACACCGCAGAGAAGAACCGCCTACGCTTCATCGGGTACGTCTCTCCGGGCGCGACGATCGAGAACACGGTGATTTTCGCCAAGGTGAAGGGCCATCTACACATGACCCAAGAATTGCTTCCGCCGGCCCTTATCGACACTGGTAAGGTGCATCTCGCGCAGTGTGCGGAGCGGGGGACCGAGGCCAACAAACAGATTGGCAAAATGGGTGCTGCGGATTGGGGTTTTGTGAACTCCCTTCCAGGCTACGGAATGGGGGAATATAAGGGGGAGAAGCGCTAGTTAGGAGGAATCAGTTGTTAGGGGACGACAGGTGAGGGTACGTGGGGATCAAAAGGGAGGCTTCAGGGTAAACATGGGTGGTGAATAGAAAGGTAGACTTACTACGGTAACCGAGTTCTTTGTACGTAGCTGGAATCCTCGCCGAATTTAAGTCTTATGCCTGGAAATCAGAACGAACACGAATGGCACACGGTCAGCGGGTGACTCCTGGTCCAGGCACGATAGTTCCATACCCGTAACTACGCAGGCGTTCTGCATAGAACGCAGATTGCTCTACATAGTAAGATGATCCATTTATGTGGTCGTTGGCCCGCTCGAGAGACAATCTCGATTAGCTGTTTCATAATTCTATCTGACTAAGATATCGAGATTACATAAACTAGTTGTGAGGGTACTCATGGTTCCAAGGTTCAGAAGATGTTCCCCCTGTTACGTGCGCTTTAGCGCGATCAGGCCTAGCACGCTTCGGCATCTTGTATATAGACCACGCGATCGCCGACTTTGCCTATCACTCAGTATTGTCACATTCCCAGCCCTGGAGGCAAATCTCAAAACATCAACTCCAGCAACTGCATTCTGCGTACGCTGGGCACTACAATGGACGATGAAGCTGGGGAATTCCTGGCTAATGTGGAAGGCGGAATCGTGCCAGTGACATGTCACGATGATGTCTTGCGGATCGCATACATTTATATCGATGAGGGGCTGTGGGACGGCCAGGGCGTATTCGATGTCGTGGAGAAGCTGCACGCTCATGGCTGGTCTTTTGGTGAGGGCGAGCTCCGCTTCAATCGGTAAGCTACATCTTCATATGAGAATCCCTAATACCGACGTACCTAGCACTGCATGTGTGTGACTAAAATAAAACAGTACCTTGGATATATTTTATCTCGCCCAGATCGCAGCAGCCTACTACTGCTGGGCCTCCCAACTAAATGGGGACGACCCCCTCACCTTCTCAGACTTCGACGCTTTCTATACTGCGCACCATGCCCTTCTGCACCCCACAGCCTGGCGCTCCTACTACTCCACCACATTCCTTGCCCAACCCACCACAGCACGCTTCTACCGCATGCCCGACCTCCAAGACCTCCCGGACTCGTCCTCCCCGCTGTGCCTGCCACGCGATAATCCGGTATCCGAACACGTCCTAAAGCTCCCCCGCTGGGCTTATACTGTCGGGCGGACCCGCCACAGGCAACCGCTCCTTCCATTTGACACGATTACTAAAATAGCCCTCCGCACGCTTGACGCAGTCTTGACACGCCTACACGTGGCCTACCCTAGCACACCACCCTTTTCGGAATCACATGCGCGCTTCTGGCTAGATGAGTATTACAAACCTCCCATCGCAGAATCGAAACAAGAAGCATTGCCCACGAACATCAACACCCAGCTTGAGGGAGAGGAGAAGAAGATCCCTTCATCTCCAAGCCCTACATCTAACCTATCACCTCGCAAGGACAACCGCGAAGCATGGGGACCCCATCACTTTGGGCTCAATGTCGCGTCGGGACTGTATGATATACACAGTTTGGAAGCACAGTACCTCGCACAGGTTTCTTCGGGTAAGGTTGTCGAACCAGAACCTAGCAAGCCGGTGTTTTTCTGGTGTGGGATACCGGATGGAGGGACTGCATTTCAAGCGTTGCAGAGGGGGTGGCAGGAAGAGATTGGGAGTGAGGAGGAGGTCGAGTTCCTAGCCGCTGTTGCGATGGAGGAGACAGCTGGACTAGGAGCTGGGGCAATCAAGATGGATGAGTTGGACTGTTCAATCCGGTCACATATCCTACTCGCGGTCATGCAGGCTGCGTTGGTAAAGAACATGCAAGAGAGGGAGCATTTCTTGGGGGAGCTGGAGAGGCGGATGGTGCAAAAGGGGAGGATTGGCGAAGAAAGAGCAGGGAGGTGGGTTAGGGAGGCCTTGGAAATTATGGTGCCTTATGTACGCGTGTGGCAGGGCCAATGGCCTGATACAGAGGAGAGGGGGGAAATGCTGCGCCGGATCTTGGTGGAGAATCCGCTGCTCTTTGCACGCTGGAAGTTGTCGCCTATTTTGAGGCAGTTCGCTTTTGACGACGCAAAAGTTGACTGTCTCGGCTGCCAAACGGCGTACTGTTAACTACTGCCAAGATCCCTTCTTTGATGGGGTTACTAGATCACAATCCTCAGCCGGACACTTTTGAGCCCCTTCCAACTGCTTCCTGATGTGCACACCCTCAATGTGGCTCTTGAGGCTTTGAGGGTCCCTGAAACGTCTCCTTCTACAGATTTGACTGACTCCATATGGACAGCGACCTTCGGCAATAACCAGATTCCGCCACACTATCACACCATAAATGCCACTGCGCTCAAGCCCCAGATCAAGACACATGTGACCCTTTAACAGACGATTGTCAACGAACATGGCGCATTGCAGGCAGTAGGTCACGCTATGTTTGTTCTGGTGACATTGTAGCAAGTGCATTGCGCGGCGTCCGTGACCGTGTATCTTATTGAGGATATCCTCATGGCAGAAAGGGCAGCTACCGTTCACCTGCGGTGGTAAGACAGGATCCGGGTAGAGAGGCCGAAATGGTTTTGGGTTGGCGAGAGCCATTAGAGGTCTGACGCATTCTCCAAGAGAAGCATTGTCTGCAGTCCAAAGGGTTTCAATGACCTGTGTCTGAAGAGGGTTGTACTTGAGCATCTGCCTGAAAACTGCTGAAGGCTCCGGACGCCGGAATGATGGTGCAGAGTCTGAACCACCGCTGCCTTGGGCATTTGGATTTGATTCGCTCTCAAAAGATACGAACGTACTTCTGAGTCTTGTGGCATATTCGTCACGCTCCATCTTGTGCTGCAGTCTAAGTGCTTTCCGGTACGTCGCTCTATCTGTGAGTGGTTTTTTGTCGGATTTGGCTCTAGATATAGCGTCTTCGAAAACAACGCTACTCATGCCTAGCTGCGTTCCAGACGGCTTTGGAGCGCCAAAGTCACGAGTAACAGCGATACTTTGAGTGAATCGTGCATGAGAAGCGTCCTCTGGCTTACCATAGGCTATGTTTTGGCCATCAACACTAACAACAGGCGCTGCATAAGAGTGCCAAACGCGGTCACTCTTGTGTCCAAGAGCTTCTTTAGTACTCTTTGAGCTTGCAGTAGCTAGGCAGGACGTGTTAGACTCTGATCAAGTACATTACTATGTTTTCTTACCTTCCATGTTGTTAGCAACACCTCGCCTAAAAGAATACGTTGTGACAGGCTCAGTATATCCCGCATCCAGGCAAACCTGCCCTAGTGCAGAGTTGACGGACATGGCACTCCAGATCTGATACGGATGAGTTTGACCGTCAGGCATCATCTTACGGATGATTGGTATGTCTTTCATCTCTGCTTTGATCGCGAACACCCTTGAGCCGGCCGTAGGTGGGATCCAGCGATTGTCAAGACTTTCTGATGAGAAGTCTTCTACAAAGATACCGTCGGCTAATGCAAGTGCCAAAACCTAATCGCTCCCTAGGGTTCGTCTCCTCTTTCAGAGTTATTGTCTTTCTACAGAAAATCAGCTTTAAGTTCAACAGTGTTCTTATAAGACTCGCATCTTGCTTGCGTCATCTCTGTTAAACTTGCGATTTCGTAGTTCAATCTTAACCTCGTACGTAAGCTCAGTCCTCTTCCGAACAAGGCTAAAGGTGACATCGCCATAATGCACGCCTTCATTAGAACCGCGATGAGTCGACGACTCAAGTATTTCCCCCTCTCGAAGACCCCAGATGCAGGTGACCTGAAGCCAGAACGAGAACTGCACCATCATACGTGGGGAGGCATAGGTCCTTTCGCTACAGTTTCAGAGATAAAACTGTATTTCATCAGCATCGGGAGCGTACGCTACGGCTCGGGTTCTTGAAGCAGTCGAGGCACCCTTAGATTTTAGGGTGGTATCAATGAACTAAATTAGGAATTAGTGAATGTCATCTGCAAGGCCCTATTTGTGACTTCACCTCTCTCATGTTTGCAAACTCTTTTAGAGACCACTCTCTGTCTGTCAGAGTTCAGTGAAGAAATGTACGCAAAGGAAGAAGTTGAAGATTGTACTGAGGTTGTGTTGAGTGAAGCTACAAACAGTATATATAGGTGAGTAGCTGTAAACAGCGCTAGTGTGACGTGGCAGTCACTCTCATGGAGGTGAGGTACAACAGGCAGGAGCACCCTGAACCATGACACTGTCTGTCTCTCGTGTAATCCGTCTCGCAATGTGTTGAAACTCTTTCTCGAGTGTCTGAACTGTGATATTGTTTCCACCGAGCCTGCCTTTGCCAGTCTTCACCCTCCACCACAGGTACGCTTTGACAATATTCAGTGGCACATCCGTATTGAGAGCTTGATGTGTTTCGCGGTCAGGGGACTTGAGCACGCTGTCAGCGAACCTGTTTACTGTCAGTCACTACTGTTTAGATGTTTAGCATCATTCTTACTGCTTCCAGAGTTTAAGAAGCCGCCCTACACCGTCCTTTTCGTAGAGTTTACAGCCTGGTTTCACAACTTCTGAGGGGCCATCACCACAGGCCAAAGCCATGATATCGTTAAGATCCTCAAAATCCATAGTGATAGCGTTGCTCTAGTTTCAGACTCTAGCAGCAAAAATGAAAGAGCAAGGAAGAATTAGATGCAGACTCTTGTGCTGGCGTCGAGAAGACGCGGGCTCCAAGAGAGCAACAGGCAGCGCCACATCCTCAGGTCTTTGTCACATACAGCTAACGAATGACTGCCCTCGTAGCATGTACTACGGAGTTTTCCTACCGCCACTATCTGCACGATGGATGTTATTGGGATTTCACTTGTGGATTTTCGGAAACCAGTTTTGGTGGTTATTCTTAGCAGTGCCAAGCCAGAAGTTTGATGTTATCTAACAGCGCTGATGCTGTTTGGATACCAAAATTACCGCTAAAGCACCTTGATTTGGTTGCGCAACGCAAACCTTCGCAACGAGTAGAAAAGTGAGTGGACAATGTTAGAATAACAATTAGAATTATATTTTTGATTTTCCGAGATTGAATTATCAAAGTCAAGCAGTAAATGTTCAAATTTCGCGGCCGCATCGGTGGTTTAGTGGTAAAATTAGCCGTTGCCATCCATCACAGGACAGTTTCGGCTAGCCCCGGGTTCGATTCCCGGCCGATGCATTTTGCTAAATAAACCAGGGTGGTGGTCTTTATTTTTGCGGAGCGGACGGCGTAGGACACAGTGGGGTTGGCATCAATTCAAATCTGACTCCAACGCAAGTCACCATGGGTGCTCTTCAGGCCTCGCTGATGTGCTTAGCGCGGATGCTATTGGTATACAGGAAAGCGGGAAAAAGACACGAAATTCATGAGCATATGTTTTTGATACAGAACTCGTAAGCATACGTCAGAGGAGAAATGATGTTCCGAAAGAAAAGAGGCTAATATATAGCTGACGCTGCGCATTGCGTTGGCAGTGATTCGAGGCATGCCCTGTGTACCCTAAATCCGAGTGGGAAAGGGGGTGAAGCACATGCAGTGACGTTGCAGGGGATTCAGGGAAAGAAGAAACATGTGAACATTGTCTTCGCATCCATGACAGGCCATTGCATAACATGAAAATGCCATCGAAGTGTTTGAAACAGAGCGGAGATATCGGCGAAGATGATTACCTTTTGGCATATCAGCGGCAACGTAAAGAGTAGAAGGATGGACGTCAAAAACGTGGAAGGTGCACGAGCATTCCTTCGCTGTGTAACCTGCTTGCTAAACATCAACGTTTTACTCCCTTTTTCAACTGGATAAGAAACGGCAATTTCAAATATTGCAGCACAGCACAGTCACATAATTTTCGTCGAGGTAACAAGACGGCTACAGTCTTGGTGATGGTTTTCGAGATCCTGTACTGTAATCAGACAAGCAGCATTTGAGCAGATGTACATAGTTTACAGCACCTTCTTTTTGAATAGTGATATACTGCGCAAACAGGTCAATTCTTGACATTGAAAAGTAAGCACAGGCGCCGAAAATAAGGAACAAGATTGGCCGTTTTGGTAGATTTCGATAGTGGAAATAGATATACACTTTTGTGCTTGAAGTCTCAAGTTTGAAAGAAGCGAAAGGACCAGCGCGAAACGTGGAATTGTAAGCGTGGTTATTATGCTTTGCAAAAGTCCAGGGCCCCCCTTTGTTTGGTAGATCAAGAAGAGCATACCAAGAAGTCAAAGTAGGACAGGGTCAGGGGCTTGATTGGAGGATATATATGTGGGCTTCTCCACGTGCTAGACCATGGACCTGACCTTCACCACCACTCGGAAGCCGCAGACATAGCAGAGGTCAGGTCAACATCACTGTTCTGTCTAATCTCTTGCCTCTCCACCACTATTCTTCTACTCAATTTTGGCTGTTCCTTAATGTGCATCCATCTACAAGCATCACCAGCATACTCAGCTTGACAAGGTAAATAACTAGACACCCACATCACGTATCCACCCCCTCTTCTCATAGCTATATGTGCATAGTTCTTTCCCAAAGGAGGGGGGCCAATACTTTTGCAAAGTGCCGATATTATAGAAGGTCCCCAGGGCATTGAAGTGAGTAGTGATAAGCTTTGTTTGCCTGCCAGTAAGGTTGGGGAAGGAAGGTGACCGAAGTGGTGGAAAGCCATATATCTGTATAAATCAAGCTCGACATCGAATCGGAGAGAGGCAGTAATGTTGCAGCGTTGGCCGCTTGTTGAATACGATGGAATATTGCGCTGAATTGCTATCTAGCTAAGAGAAGACAATATGTACTTGTCCTCAAACATGCTAATTCAGAATAGTCTGAATAGGAACAATGGTTCCTTACGAACCGATTGATAGTGCAACAAGTAATATGGTTTGAAACAAGCACTGGAGTTTGTGACGTTCCTAAAATCCATGCGTCGATGTATACACCGAGCAGTCAGTGTATCTTACACCGAGCCTCGGTGTGCCATAAATCATAGACAGACGTTTTATACCGAGCACTTGGGGGCGGGTATAGCAGGCAGCAAGAGGCAGAAGGGGGGGGGGGCTAGTAGTGAGAGGTGAGGTAGGAGACCCAGGTAGCAGCAGAGCGGAGGGCCAGAGGGCACCTGGGTGAGAGTACTCAGGAGCCCTTCCATCATATTCTACCTCATCTGCCCACAAGAGCACTATGTCATCACGACCTCCTCTACAGCTACGTGCTCCTGCAACTACACCACACCTACGCAGGCAGGGTAGAATCATCTACGCGCCGGTAAGACAAGGCCAAATTGTCCAGATCTAAGGTCTAGTTCCTTGTAGTGTTAATATCTATAGTATAGGAAGAGTGCTGTAAATATTAGCAAATCAAAAAGTAGCACTAAACATCAAGATAAAACATATGCACACAGATATATCTTGCTTACCTATGGTACCTGGCTGCTGCCAACTGGTTCAGGCAAGGATTTACACCAAGCGTGGTTCATAGGGACAGAGCTCCTCTTGATTATAAACAAATTTTGAGCATGTGCTGAATCGCAATGCCTTTCGGAGACGACAGCACACACCGCGACCGTCGTTCCTTTTCTCTTTCCTCAATGCGAATTTCGCCACGAGGAGGCACAGCATGCATACAGACTTTCGTCCTGTTCGGGTCACGGGTAACGTGTTTCTGATCTCGGCTGATTTTTTGGACCTAAGAAGAAACGCTAGGCCCAGAGCATTCTTAATAAGAGAGCCAGTATAGAGAACAGGTAGCCATCGCCCAATTTGGGTTGGTTTCTTGAAGTCGAAAGTCAGCGAGCAGGCAAATGCAGCATTTGATATCATGACCAGTGATTTTGAGGACCTAACAGACACATGGATTGGCAGTTTGTTATTTTTCGTTAGCTATTGACGGGAGTGCAGGGATGAAAGGTAAGAGCAGAGAAGACAGGACAGATTTATAGCCATCGTACTGGAGCTAAGAGCAAGTGATTTGTACCGACTGGCAGGAAGTATTTGCGACCAGTGAAACAGGCAGGCGTGCGACATGCGCAACTCGACATGCTGATATCGAAAAGGTGGAAAGACAAGGTGCACGGCAGAACGACCTCGTGAAATTTGATTCGGAGAACAGAAGCAGCAGACGGCATGGCGCGTTCCTATTCTTTTTCTTCCAATTGCGCAAGGAGAGAACACGCGCATGACATTGATGTATTCCTACTTGATCCTCGGGAGACAACGGAGACATTACGCATCTCTATCCATTCTTTAATGTCGTTGCAGCAAGAAATGATAGATGAGGAGTAAAGAATCGTGCAGGTATGAGAGGACTTATATGCTCGGTAATAGGAAGCCCGATGAGCATGTGATGCGGACCAAGGTGGGGCCAAGTGTGCACTCAACGGATGGGACTCAAAGGCCCCGTCCAAAGCGCTGATTGAATGGCAGGGCGAAGTCAGTCTCACAAAGCGAACAGGACAAAGACGGCATGGAATGATGCAGGGTTTTTTTTTCAGCAGAGACACCACATGACATCTATAATCTTATTATTATTTTCCAGTGACAATGTGAGCACCAAGAAAGGACCGGTACATACAATGATACCCTGTCGCTTTCGGAAGGGGCAACTTGTTTCTGATTGTGACTGGATTTCATATCGAGTCAGAAAGGCAGACGCGGAACATCGGCCTGGATTGACCGGGATTTTGGAAAAGCACTGCCACACCGAGAGAGCTCTGCAGTCCTTTCAAAGTCAAAATGAACAGTCGGGCAAAGTTGGGGGGTTTTTTTTCGGGAATACTATTTCTGAGAATCCGCCAGCAACGCGCGAAGACATAGCTCTTTGATTCGGGCATTTTTGAAGGCTTGGTGGTTCGATGAAAACTGCAGGGAGGGAACAGATCATGGCGAAAGACGCGCTATATAGTGAGTTGGAAAGCCACAAGACATTGACAGCGTTGGCTCATTGGCCAAATTCTCGTTTGCCGAAGCTGGGGAAATAGATCATGATGGAAGCTAAGGCAGATACGACGTAAGAGCCGACGTAAACAACTTACTAAACGTGTTCAAGAAAACTTTGGTACTCATGAATGTGTCATGTCCTTGTCATTATCGTCCGCATCGTGACATCTGTAACATGGTGTGCCCATCTATCCAAAAGACCGTCTGAAAACAGTTGACCCACCAACGCCAAACACAAATTGATTGTGTACGTCAAGACTTCCTGGCTTCGCAACCGGATGGTGGCTTACCAAAATCAGGCTCGCCGACACGTACCTAAGGCTCGTCATCACAGACCTTATAGCCGTTAATGATAACCCTCGAATCGCGATGAAACCTGCCCTTCCATTCAGAGAACTCCCTCTCCAGAACCTGTTTCCCCTTATCCATCACTGAGTCCACCTTTTTGCGCAAGGCACAGGGCTCAATATGGCCGTAGTCCCAAAACTGATGGCCCAGGCCCCAAGACTCGACGTGCATATAGTTCCACTTCTGACGCTGCATGGGTTTGGTGTGCGGCATGTTGACTTAGCCATGTTGGTGAACTTCACCGGAGCTGAGTTCGCTGCGTTTGAGGAAATCGAGGAGACTGAAGAAGCAAGAACTTACGCGAATCAATTGCGGAACATTGCAGAATTTTCAATATCCATCTACACCCACATAGTAGCAATTATGCGTCGCATCGCTCTCAGTATACACCTTACGCGTGCCAGCCACGATCCGAATCAGCGACTGATGAATGCCTTCAGGAGCATACTCGGCATACCTCACCCTAATCCATACATCCCCCTCTTCAACCTTAATTGGGTTGGTTTGCGACATGTACTTATGTGAGGGCACAGTGACACTAGTCGACGTGAGGGTGTCGTTCGATGGAATGAGACCACTGATGGAAGGCTTGTCACTGTTGTGCACGGCAGGCTGGCTATTGTTGATGGCATCTGAGGGAGCAGTGCCAACGAGTGTGACAGGACACAAGGCCAAGCCCAAGATAACAAGGTTGTAAAAGTATTTCATAGTGAAGCTACTGACGGCTTGATGGAGTCGTTCTCGACGTGGTAGAGTCGGAACAGAGGATCGAGAGCAGCGCGTTGTTCAAAACTCACCCGGCGCATTCGGCGCACAGACCTGTAAAGGCGAGCGCAAGTGGAGGTGCAAGTGAAAGTAGCTCTGAGGGCAAGCGGAGGTCAGCTCCCGGACTCTTCATGGTAGCGGTTTCACTAAACCGGAGTCTGGGCCAGGGTGATCTCGTGGCAAGTGGGCTGCTCGGGCGTTGGATGGAAATGCCACGAAAAGACTCCCAAGTGGTTCATGATGATATGGCAATGCTCGCTCAATAATACAACCCTCTCACAGTGCCACCTCCTTCTCCATGGAGATTCCACACCTGACGCTCATCTCCTCCCACTTACTCGCCAACTCACTCACACTCCCTGTTGTCTTCCTTCTCCCTCTCCTCTGACCCCGTCCCCTGACTTTCAAACTCTACTTGAACTCACGATCCACCTCTTCAAACCTCTCGAGGAAACTCTGGAACGCAAACACACCGAGTCCAGGATCCTGGCTACCAGTGGTCGCCCTGATCGAATGCATACTCAACTGTGGGATACCACAGTCGATCGCCCTGATTCCGGTCGCAGCACTCAGCATTGGACCAACGGTGCCTCCACTGCGACTGTCGTTACGGATCTGGAAGACCTGCAACTTGGGATCTTGTTTGCGCGTGCCAATGTCAGCGTCGACGCAACGTTGGAGGATAGCGGTGCTGACGGCATCGGTGGTCATGTGGGCGTTTGAGTCTGCGGAGATAGCGGGCCCGATGTTCAGGCGTGGTGAGTGATTCTCCAGATACGCGTTGAGGAAGTTGGGGTTCACGGCGTGAATGACGTCGCTAGATACCAGGAAGGAGTTTGCGTAGGTACGTGCGAGCGTGTTCTTGACTTTGGTCTCGGTGAACTCCTCCACGATGCGCTCTATGACGCTGGGAAGGAAGTTGCCGCGGGCGCCCTGACGGAGGAGCGAACCGACCTCCTCGTCGTCGAAGAGGGCGACGATGCGGATCTGCGAGGAGCTGGAGAGGGAGGAGGTGGAGTTGAGAAGGGCTTGGACAGCGGCCCAGGAGCAAAGCTTGTCGTCGATGCGGCCGGCGAAGATGAATTCGCGGTCGAGACCACCGGTCGTGGCGGGTTGAACGTCGAAGAGCTCGAGCTCCCAGTTGACGATAGTCGAGTCTGTGCATGTTAGTGCTTGTTCATGCGAATCTTAAATGAGAACCAAGGCTTACAGTCCGTAATGCCCAGCTCAGAAGAGATGGCCTTGACAAGTCTCTCGGGTTGCGTGGCGGCAAAGACACCTTCTCCGCCACAAGGACTGGCCTTCCACTCAGCCTCACTGTTGGCTGTTGATGGCGCGCCAAAGTCGCTGTTGTCCAGGCCGACAATGGGCACCATCTGGGTCTCCCTGTTGAATGGGCCGTTTGCGGCAGCACCGAAGTGCGGTGCAAGCGTTGGTATCCTTGCAATGGGCCAGTCGAGCTTGACCAGCTTGGTGACAATCTTGCCGTGCTCCTTGACAAGCACGCGTCCACCAATACCGAGATCGCGGTCCCACCAGGTGTCGCTGAGAGCACCTGCGTAAGGCGCTACGCCTAGCTGGACGTAGCCAGCCCTGTTACGGAGCTTAGAAATCGGCTTGAGCTTCGCCGTGAGCGCGTCGATGTGGCCAGCAACGATGGCAGCACCATTGCCCGCCTCGTACTTGTCTCCAATGGCGAACGCAATCAGCGAGGTGCCGTTGCGGTCGACGTAGTATTTGCCGCCAGCCTTCAGCTCCCACGAGTCGCGCTCAGACAGCTTCTTATACCCGTCCTTCTCGAGCTCCCTCGCTACGGCATCGACGGCGTGGAAGACGGTCGGGTTGGCCGTCATGAAGTCGGTGAAGGGCTTCGTGTACCTCTCAGGGGCCTCCTTCTCGCGTCTTACGGGCGCCGGTGGCAGCTGCGCGGGCAGCCATGGGTGCGATGGCGCTGGCTTGGAAGCCATCTTGGGTGCTGGCAGGCGGTACTCGCCATCCCTGAACTCGAGTATGGGTGCAAGTGTCGGTGCCTCCTCTAGGATCTTGGGCGGAACTGGTGGCGGGCTCTGCTTCTGCCTGTTCGGCCTGGAGCCCTCGTCGTCCTCATTGGGGTTCGGGTAGGGCGCGGCGATGCTGTGGCGAGCTTGGCCCCTGTCGCTCATCTGGCGTCGCTTCTGCTCCCAGTCGGCCAGTGTGCGGCGGGGCAGCGGGCCAGCTGTCGTGTGCGAGCGCGAGAGAGTCGAGTACGCGTGCCGCAGCTGCTGAGGCGGTGACGGGTCCGCGTAGAGGTCCGCGTTCGATGCCGTCTTGCGGAGAGAGGGGTGGTTCTTCGTCATGTTCGCGGCAATCTATCAATCTATGGGTGGTAGAAGCAATGTTGAAGAATACGGCGTAGTGTGGCGGTGGAGAGCTTGGGGAGTGAGGCTGAAGTCGCCGTGTTGCTGCGCAAGCACGTCAGCTGCAGGCCCAGCACGGAGCTGCCTCGATCTGGGGAAAGACCCACACCGCACTTGCATGTGAGCCGCGTCGTGACCACCGAGCCTCAAGACAACCATCTGGCACGTCAAGTCATACCTCCTCCCAGGCTGTCTGCTTTCAACATATCCAACGAACTCCATTGGGATACCTTCTATGAAGACCGCAGGTACAGCACTAACCCAATTTCTTGCCGGAACGTCTCAACTTCACATAGTAGACCAGCAATCCTATGTTTGTTATTGTTGCTTCATCGCCCCGCGATAAGATAGATATGTACCTTGGCACCGATATCCCCGTGTTTTCGGTGATAACACGCAGAGTGGGGTGTGCGGCATTTCTTTTGCGTGGAAAGACGTGCAAAACGCATCAGAAAGTCAGTGTTCTGAATGGCAACTTGCGAAAGATTTTGCCTTCCTTGTCGTTGCAGCTACTATGTATCAAACCAGTACTATAATACTAGAGCTCAAAAGACAGAAAGAAAGGCGAAGCAGATTTCTTCGAAAAGTCCATTTCCTTGTCGTATTTCCAGGTGTGTGGGCGGATGATCGTACGGCTGATGAGGGTGAGTCTTGGCAGAAGAAAGGCTCCAACGATCAACATCTCGACAGCGCAACTGTATCAAGTTACGGAACAAGAAACAGCGTGGCTGAGGACAGCCACCAACGACAAAACAACAGCACATTCGCAACCAGTTGATTTGTGCGGAGCGATGGCGGCAATTTATATACCTAGCATGTAAAAACAACGATTGATTGGTCCAACGTGCTCGAGTCCTACAATTTGAGAAGAAACATCGTATATGCGAAGACCTCCGATAACTCCACCGATATGCCGCCAAACTGTCCATAGCAATCGTAATCAGAAGCGTTCATTCGTCAGTCTCATCAGGATCCACCAATCTGGCGAATCGATTCTGCCGCTACGATGGGCGCTGACCGTTGGGCATGGGCGGTGGTACCTGATCATCGTCATCATCCTCTTCGGTGTGGCTGGCACCTGTTAGCAAGCTTTCAGAGTTCGGCTTCTGCAGTATCTACCCAAGCAGATCCTTGACGTTTCTCATCTCGTAGTGCTTCTTTCGCAACTCCTCAAACTTGCGGTGCTTCTCCTTTTCCTCCTGCGTGGCGTTTGGAGGCAGCTCGCCGTGGTAGCCCTTGTCCTCCTCAGGATCTACTAGCACTCGCTTCTCGCTCTCAGGTGTCTGAGACTCTCGACGCGCCCGCAGCTCAGGTTCACCAAGATCAAACTCGGGAATGTCCTCAACCTTGTTCTTCCGCTTCGGCTTCGCGTCCAATTCGTCGACATTCAGGTCCCTAGCATCGAGCATCTCAACCTCCTCCTCGTCCTCAGCAGGGTCGTACTGCTTGGCGTAGGGTGTCTTGGGCTCGTCAATCTTCATCGTGCTGTCGCGATTCTGCTCGTTTATGTAGAGGTTGGCCTCATCCCACTTGAGCTGGGGGCTATTCTCATCCAGATGGGGACTGGCGCCCGATTGACGTCGTGATGTGGAGCCGCGGGGGTTTGAGGACGAGCGGCGGTGACCTTGACCAGCATTGTGCAGTGTGTTCTCGAGCACGATTTCCTTCTCAGACTTTTCGCGACCAAGATGGGGGCGCTCGGCGGCGGGGCTGACAGCGGGTGCAGCATCGCCGGACGACGAGCTCTGCGAGTTCGATCGGTATGAGCCGGAGTTCTTCAAGATGCCTATAGTGCTGTCAGCAGCAAGTATTGCATGTCCAGGCCTCCACTTACCCTTTGGTCGCTCAGAGTGCGACGAGGGCGAGTGTAGCGGAGAGTGTGCGGTCATGATTGCGTGGGCGATGTGTGGTGGCTGGGTGTTTTGGATCGGCGTTCGCTCGCACGTGAATGCCAGCAGGGTGGGGTGATGTAGTGATGCGCGCGAGATGCCCGGTCAGCGTAGAGCGTGATTTGCAGTGTATATGGACAGTGCTCAGAGCTAGCCAGTGTGGTGTAGGAGAGACAAAGATCGGTACTTGAACAGGCGCAATTGAAAGCGGGCTGTTGGTGGGGTAAGGAGCAGTAGCGTTGTCTAGGTGAGGAAGCCGCGATATGACGTCGCTGGTCGCTGGGGCGGCAGGTACAAAATTAGCCGCTTTAAGCTCCTGCATGCACGACACTGAGACATGCAGCACCTTTAATAGGCAGTCCCCGCACTAGCCATCCGTATCTGCATCGCTATTTATCTGATCATATGTATCTGCCTCGTAGGCGGCGACGACAACGAATGGCGATGACTGTCTACCGAGCCAGTCATTGGAGCAGGGGTGGCTGAGGCGGATGCAAGTGCACGCTTTGGCTCTGTGTCTCAGACCTCTGGTGTCGCTGTAATAAAGCATGACATGCATGCCAGATCCTCCAATGATGGCGAGAAGCTGGGTACCGACGACCTTGATCTTGCAGGCCTAGCAGCCCAAAGTACGCGTGTTCGAGCAATCATATTATCACACTGCCAACAGCCTGCTCCATTCATGCACGCCAACAGACGTGCAATGCCCTCAACCTGCAGCCGTCTGTGGTCCGAGTAGGACCACAAAAGGCAATCGAGAGAGAAGAGGCCATTGTAAGAACAACCGGAGCACGAAGACCGGACATTTGTTTTCAAGATATGTACTTGACCACGAGGTTGTCTATGTTGACGAGTAAACGTCCTGCAGTACCCTTGATAATCAGCACAGATCCCAACAAATGCACACGAAGGGGAGTTCGGAAACGTCTCTTCAGACTTTGCCTTAGAGCTTCAAGCTCAACCAAGAGATTGCAAAGCGCAACAGTGTAGCTCTGGCTGAGATTCAGACTACCAGAAGTGGTCGTAAAGACCTTCATCACAAGATTCACGGTACTGCAAGAGCCAGAGTATAACATACATCAACTGAAGTAGCTTGCTGCCTCAAACGCGTAGGCGTGTGACAAGAAATGTCCCTGCTTGTAGGTCATCACCGCATCATGGAAGCCACAAAGGCGGCCCTCGTGATGATGGTTTTAAAAGAGGAATGGCTCATTCTGGGCCAGCTTCGGAGGCGGCAGCTGAGTTGAAGAGTTCAAGCTGTCGCAGATTTGAGTAGAAGGCCGTGAAGGAGAGATGGTGCGGCCCGGTGCACGCGAGAAATTTGTAGTTGCAGCAACGCACGGACGCGCTCGTTGGCAACCGCGGAAAGCCACTCTGAGCAGAGGCCAACCTTCTCACACGTTTTCTTGAAGACACCAATATCATCGCATTGCACTCCACCCGACCACTCGCCACCGCCCGCTTCCTTCGCAGCTCGCTCTCCCGTATACTAGGATCATTCAATATCGCATTTGCCATATATACTTGAAGACCTACTAGCTACAGCATCCACACCGCACATCCCCCCCCCGCACACCACCGACGCACATTGGCCGTTGAACCTCGACTAGCTCTGCTTTGCTGCTTGTTCGCTCATTCGTCCCACCAAGCTTCAGACAGAGTACCTCTCCATAACCACTGTCCTTCACCGTGACCTAGCTACCAATGGATAACAGGGACAACCTCTGGACCCGCCGCTCCAAGTATGTTCGCCCTCTTGTCCCCGCACGTCCTTCGTCACTCGACTAACGGCCCCCTGCAGCACCAGCAAGCTCTCTCTGTCCACCTCGCAGTCCGACCACCAGTCCGACCACACTCCCACTCGCACATTCTCCGCCACTGCAAAGCGCTTCGGCGGAGACACGTCGTCGCACGGCGGCCGCAATCCTTTCAACGCCATCTCGCCACTGACACCCGGTGCGCTCGCGTCGCCCACCACGGGGGGCTCCTCTGCCTTTGGGCTTGGGTCAGGTGCCTTTGCATCTTTCGGGTCTGCTAATAAGACCCCCAAGACGCCAGGCACCGCATTCGACTTCAAGACTGCCGCAACGCCTGCAGCAGTACTCACAACACCGTCGGAGAAGAAGCCACCGAGCAAGATTGTGAACAGCGCACGGAAGGAACCTGCCTCCACACCTGCGCCACAAGAGAATACGACAATGCCCTCAGAGCCGCTCGATCCCAGCGCACCGTGGCCGCTGAAGTACTCATGGGTCGTCTGGTTCCGCCCACCAACGCCCAAGAACAACGATTATGAAAAGTCTATGAAACCTCTTTGTAGGATGAGCACCGCCCAGGACTTCTGGAAGGTGTTCGTGCACCTCAAGCGGCCATCGTCATTACCCACAGTTTCAGATTATCACGTCTTCAAAGAAGGCATTCGGCCTGTGTGGGAGGACGAGGAGAACAAACGCGGGGGAAAGTGGATCATGCGCCTGAAAAAGGGAGTTGCAGACCGCTATTGGGAGGAGCTGCTCATGGCCTGCATCGGTGACCAGTTCAACGAGGCCGGGGAGGAAGTCTGTGGTTTTGTCCTCAGTGTTAGAAGCGGCGAGGACGTCTTCAGCATCTGGACAAAAAACGATGGTGGCCGCAACATCAAGATTAGGTACGCGGTGAACCTGAAGTCGCACAGAAGGGCGATAATTGCTGACTGCATATACAGGGAGACTGTCAAGCGTGTGCTCGGCCTTCCCGAAGGAACCCAAATCATCTGGCGTAGTCACGATGACAGCATTGCGCAACGCACTGCCATCGACCAGGCACGCCAAGAGAAGAACCAGCTCAATCACGAGAAGCGTCGAGTAACATCGTCAGATGAGGCACAGCGGGAGAAATCCACAGCTGGGTCATAATCTATGCTTCGAGTGTCGTCGTCTCGCCATTGCTGACTATGTGCTAGCTTGCCGTGGGACAGTCCGGTGCATCTCAGTACAAGGCAACCTCAGAAGCGATTCTACAACAAGTTTGATCCAAATCTCGGCGCATGGCTGGAAATCGCGAGGAACTCTACCAGCACGACTCCAGAAACGCTTAGGCAACCAGTTGGCGGATCTGCCGCAATGCCGTAGGGTCTAGCTGTGCCCGAGTATTTTAACGCGTTGCGCCCACACTTGGAAGATCCCTAGCGCGGTCAGGCAATTTCCCAGTATTGCTCGAGGCATAAAGGAACAGCCCTGCCCAGCGCCGGCGCTACCACGATAGCCACGTCGGTCAGGTGCTCGAGATCTGGTTCTGCAACTTCTTGCGAAACACCTGTCAGCACGGCAGGCGACAGCCAACACAGTGGCGACGAGATGACCGCGTAGCTCACTCGTTGAGCGGTTTCAGTGTTTTCTGGATAGCCATTAAGACTGAGCTTCTATTCTATTCAGGCGAACAGCACGGCGTACCGAGTACGGAGGAGCATTGCGCTCCATATAGCGGGTGGCATTACTGTTATTCTTCTGACTTCTGCATACTGTATTCTACATAGCTGTTGTTGAGCATCCCGGGCAGCATCTGGTGCGCAGGCGACTAAGCTTGGATACCATACACAGATTAGGATTATTATGAAGGACTGGAAAGTCAACACGACAATGAAACTCCATGAACACCATTGCCCTAGCACCCGCTTTCTTTGTGGTGTAGACTTCTCCATTGTTTAGCGTGGGCTGTTAAGCCCACTATCTCCGCTGTGACAACGAAAGAACGGCCTCTGACGTTCGCTTGCGCCGACAAAGCACCTCACCTTTGACATAACAACGTGAAGCTGACAACGCGCGCCCCGCGCAAGCTCGCGCTTTGCAACCTCCTTCACTTTCTTTCCTCTTGGCTCTACTCGCTGCGAACTATGAACCTGCACACGCGCCCCGCGATCAGATACCAATGTCAAGCCTTCTCAATGCTGCTGCACAACTTTGGCACGCCGTAGCTGGAGACGGCACCCAAGAAGAGCATGCAAACGAAGTACGCGCAACCCCGCAGAAAACGGGCTTTATTCGGATACCTGCCGCAGACCTTTGCGCTCCATAGCTTCGACACCTACTGACATCACGTTTTACCAGTCAAACCATGCAACTACACCACCAAGGAACCTTCTCCCCCCGAGCCCCTTCGCCTCACAAGAGCCCTCTCCTCGACAGACGAACGCCTTAATAGACCTTACATCAGCTGAGAGCCACAGTCCAATTTACGAGATCGACCTACTACCCAAGCACACATCCTCACGACTCCAGCACCGCCCTAACAACGGTGAGCGCCGGTCAGTCAAAGAACATGCCCCTCGGTATAGCGCTACACGATACGCGTGCTGAGAAAGAGCTTGGACTGATACGTGACCAGGAAGCTCTCAGACGCAACACGGGTACCGGATCCTGCGCAAGGATACCAGGGCCCGCCCGCAATGAAGAAGGTGTGGCTTCGATTGCTTGTACCTACGCGCTATCCAGAATTCTTGCTAACACTCAGCACAGCCTGCGGCGGGGAAGGGCTATCAACCTATCAACACCCTCAACAGTAATGCCATCGCCGACCGCAATAACCCAGCTTTCGGCCGCAAGCACACAACAACATACGGCAAGCATGACCGTAACACGAAATTGATCGGCTTGCAGCGAGACCGTGGACAACAAGCGTTCCTGGAGCGAAACCCAAGTCATAAATCGGCAACCTCCTACAGCTATAGCGTGCCGCAGGCTTCGCCACTCAAACGCAGAAAGACTGAGCACCCCAACGTTAAGCACCCGCATACCGTCCAGGAGATTGATGACAGCGAAGAAGACGAGATCCAAGAGGTGATACCACCCGCTAGTCAAGCATCCACACCAAGAGCACGTTCGATCATGTCTTCACGAAGTCCCCACAGCACAGCTAGTAAGCAGTCTGGTACAGGGGCGAAACCTGCGTCGCAGCCTATGAGCGAGTTTGCACAAACCAACAATCTCCTGAACCCGAAACGTGCCCCAAGCCGCAGACGGAAGAACGTTAATGCAACCAACAAGAGTCGCAGGGGTTCCCAGGCCGATGTCCCTTTCCTCGGCGCCGGAAGCCTCTCTCAAGGACAGTCTGCCAATATCGCTGACGACGATATTAAGCCGCCTGGGACGGCGAGAAAGACGATTCTTCAGAGCATCGAGCAAGGCGTGAAGCGCAATCCAAGTCTGATCGAATCGCAGCATTCGAATGAACGTGTGACGTCAAAGCATTTTCCGACGATGCGCATCAATGAGTCAACCGCAGCGGAAACTTACGATAGAATTACTAGCGGGGTGAGCGAGTCGGGGTTGACCAGAAATCTACGCGAGTATCGACCTGCGGAAAGTCATATCCCAGAACTCAAGGGTGATCCAATCGAGGGCAGTGAAGACGAGCTCGCGCAGCCAAATACATCAAAGTCAAGGCGTAAGCAGTCGCCTTCCACGACTTCACAGATGAAGCATAGCGCTGCCGCGCGGAAAAACACCATTGACAAATGCTATCAACTCGAATATGCTCGGTCGTATGGGTTTGGGCCTGATTGGGCGCAGTTCTCAATGGAACATACCGAAAATCCAAGGAAATTCCGCATCTCTGGCCTTGACCTCAACGGCAATTCAAAAGTCCTGAAGATACTCGATCTTGCCAGCATCAACAGGATCACATCAGACAACACGCACAGCATGAGGATCACAGGTCCATCTGTGAACGGTAATATGTATTGGTGCGATTTGAAATTTCCCGAATTCAAAGACTTCATACAGTTTCGCGACAACTATATCATCCCCGAGGTTGCATGCAATGCCCAATCTAGTGTATCAAAGTAAGTCGACTCCCGCGCTTGAGTTGCCACAGCTTACAGTGATAGGGACCAAATGGAAGAACTGTTCAAGAGGCCGTTGAAGAAGAACGACAAGATCGGAACAACTCCCATGGTCAATGAAGAGGTATCCTCCAACCAGACACAAAGCGGACAGCGTAGAACGCCCAGAAGCCGCCTAATTACCGGGATGACAAGCGACCCGCACACCGCAAGTGATTCAAACCCTGACGGTCTGACAAAACCTCCCGCATCCACGCGAGCACAGGCGCGCCCAGCTCGAGCTACTAGAGCAACAGCCTCTATGCATGACCAAGATATACTCGAGAATGGAAAAGAGGCTGACAAGTTCTCAGTGAGGGTGGGGTTAGGGAAGCGGTGGCCCAAGTAAGTCAAGTATCGTATGATTCATGACAGGCTCTAATAAACCTTTAGCCAGCTAGATTTCAACATTGAGGAAAGTTTCCTCAAACGGCGAAGGTGTACCGTCAACTTCGATGATCTCCCCAGATTGGACGAGGATGAAATGCTCAACGACAGCCTCGTCAACTTCTACATGCTGCAAGTAAATGGTCCCAGACGAACGTGAATCGTCACTAACAGTCTCCCAGGTATCTGTACAATGAGCTCAAAGTTTCGGTTGATCGGGTGTATTTCTTCAACACGTATTTCTTTGAGTCACTCACCAAGAATACCAAAGGACGAGATGCTATCAACTACGATGCTGTGAGAAGCTGGACAAGGCGAGATGATGTGTTCAGCTATGATCACATTGTCGTGCCGATCAACGAGAAGTATGTGATAAAATCAATCTTTCGAGTTGACACTAACTTGCCTAGATACCACTGGTATCTGGCGATCATTTGCAACGTTTCGAACATTGCTCGAAAGCCCGCCGTTGACGATCTCCAAGAGGATTCGCAAGATCTGGACCGGCCAACGACTGATGTCCATACGGCTGGAGCGAAGGTGGATTCGAACAATGACACGATTGCTGAACACCAGGATGAGATCGCCGGCAAGACACTAGTTACTGGAGGACCTCTTGTCCAAGAGATCCTTGACAATGATGATGAGAACCTTTTCGAAGAAGAGAAGAAGCTCAGTCTCATCGATCGAGATGAAGAAAGTGTTGCTGAGAGCCAACAGCCAACTAAGAAGCAAGACCGGTCTGATGAACAGCAGGTTCAGGATCAAGTTGCATCTGCCGCACTTTTATCAGCACAAGCCGAGGGCACTTCGTCAATCCTACTATCAAGTCAGTCGAAACAAGCACTAAAGAAGAAAGGCAAGCATAGGCCTACAGCCCCCAAAAAAGACCCAGAGAAGCCAGTTATCATGATACTCGATTCACTATCTGGAGCTCACAGTAATGCAACGCGTGCCTTGCGAGAATGGCTCCAGGCCGAAGGCTTAGAGAAACGCGGCATGACCGTCGAAATTGACAATAAGGGCCACTACCCCAAGTCTGCGCAAATTCCCATGCAGAACAACTTTTCCGATTGTGGCCTTTACGTTCTCGGCTATGCCAAAAAGTTCTTTGCAGACCCTGACGGGTTCAGGAAAAAGCTTTTGACGGGAGAGATGTCCGCAGAAACAGACTGGCCAGATATGGATCCCTCGAAGATGCGGTCCGATCTGCGCAACCTGATATTCAGACTCTATGATGCTCAGAAGGAAGCACACAAGGCGAAGAAAGCTGCAAAGGTTAGAGATGCGCGTATCTCGCCCACCAAAGTTGGGTCTAAGCGGACCAGCCCCTCTGCACAGCAGTCAAGCGCTGTTGAGGCTGACACCTCGGCCATCGCACAGGCAGCTACTGACGGGGAGCTGTCAACGGTAACAGCTACGGCTAAAGCTACTACACCTCCAACAGTGACACTCCGCCTTGCGTCTCCATTCGCTCCTGAGGCACGAACCGACAAGAGTCACCCACACAATGTTGAAGACGCGAAGAAAGACAATGTCTCCCACTCTCCTCCGACTGCAATATCATCCCCGACAACATCCACGAAGACGATACCTGCAGAACCGAAGCAGGCACCCGTGAAACGTCTAAGTAGTCCAGAGGTTCGTGTTTCTACCAAATCACTACATATTGATAGTTCCTCTTACATGCGATACGATGGCGCGATCGATCAACCACGTCGACCTACACAACAATCAACTGACTTGACAAGTCCTCTGCAGAAGCATGGACTGCGCAGCAAAGATGACGGAAAGCTTCGCATGCCATCTTCAAGGAAGACCCAAGAGAGTTCCCCGTCACGACCGCGACGCGAACGCCCGGTGCCTTCGAGCCCTTCACAGCCGCGTACTCGATCGGGCAGCTACGACGACCCCATCACACTCGACGACTCGCAGGATCTCGATGCGCCTGTTCAGCAGCAGCCGCGATCGGCAAAGAAGCCTCCACCAAACGTTATCGAGCTCGATCGTTCGCAAGAGACCATTGATGCGCCGATTTGCCGTGCCAAAGCTATAAGCAAATGCCCACCCGCCCAACGCAGGACTTATCGGCAAACACTCCAACATGACGACTCGGTGCAGGAGGGCGTCGGGTACGAATGGCAGGAGGGCCGAGACGTGACACATGCTTTGAAAACTTCGCTTGAAGATGAACGAAGGAGGCTCAGTGAACAAGTGAACAATCCGCTACATGATTCAGATCGCCCAATGGAGAATGTATACAACGCAGAACGGGTATACTCGCAGTCCTCACACACCATGCAGGAGGTGCCAGAGACACAGGCCATGGACGTCGATGACAAAGTAATTAAGGAGACGCCGGGGCGGCAGAGAAGCAGCCCTGGACTAGACGCGGATCCGATGGACTGGCAACCGATGCCCGTCTACAATGGCAGGTGAATCTACCAGAGGGAAAGATGATGATGGTCTGGTTGCTTGCTGACTCGGCCCACGTCGGGTTCGTGGAAACATGCACATTGCATGAGATGGCACCTCAGGTGATGACCTTGGATGTATAGGACTCGAACACGTGGCACGTGCCAGATCGACATGTCGAGGAATGGAGTATGATGACTTACTTACATATATCACAACATATGACAAATGACATTCAACTGTGCATACTTCCCTGCCTTGATGCGTCCAACAAAATATTTCCATATTAGCTCTATTCGCAGATGTTGCTGTGACGCATATACACAAAAGTACAATAGTGGACGCACAATTTCGAAATGCGTTCATCCCCTATCTTTCACTCGGGTTACAGACCTTACTTACGATGCTAGGCACCGGACCCCGCCCCTCCATAGTCATACTCCTGCGCTTTCGCCTGCTCCCTCCTCCGTTTCACAAACCAGGCCCTTTCATCCTCTGTCAAACCCTCTCTCTGCACCACCAATCGCCTGGTATCTCCCTCCATCTGCGCCACACACCACCGAAAAACCATCTTTTATCTATCTGTCGCCTGCTGCAGCAGTACATCTCTTGAAATCTTCTTTACTCCTCTAGCGTTAAGTTTATTCTAGACCGCGGTGATAAGCGGGTCCAGTAGGTCTGCGCTAGCGACCAGCAGCGCGATTGCGGCGTGCAGCGATACGCGCGAGTCGTTCGTAGAAGGGTCGAGAACGGCGTCAATGTATTACGCCTAGCGCCATAGCTGGGGTAAGCCGGGATTGGGTGAGGAGGCATGGTCGTCTAGAAACTCGAATGTTGGAGGGAGGTTCTGGAAGAGTCGTGTGAGGTCATCTCCGGTTGAGCGTTGGGAGTGGTTGTCAGCTGGGCCTGGAGCAGCGGGCATGGTGATTTGCCACAAGGGAGTTGAGCTTGGAGGCACTGCCTATGTCGGTAGTGAGGACTTTGACACAATGGGATGCGTACTGTCGCGGTTACTGAGATCATGAGCGTACGGCCAACCCACCACTTGACCACCAAGTTACCATGAGCAAGCACTAGATTGGGCAGGTGCTCAGACGGCGCTCTCGAGCACCTCCTCTTCCGTCTTCGCATCATTCTCAAGTCGTTTCAAGATGTCACCGTTCGCGCCTCGACCACCCGTGAGATCTTGCAAACCCGCAACAGCATCATCGACATCTACACACATGTCAGCAAACATCCTTCACGCCCTACGCGGGCCGGACCGCCGACGGAAGTCCTACCCTGGAAGCCCTCATCAGCAGCCTCTCTACCCACCCATCGACTCATCTTCTCTTTAACGAAGTGATTGAAGTTCCACTCCTCGGTCTCGAGCCTGTGCTCGCCTGCTATCCAGATGTACGTCTGCGCTTGCACCTCCTCGCCCTCCATATCCTTATGCTCAGGATCGCCAGCGCGCCCTTTGCTTTCAAGGACCCTAACTTTGACATCTCGTCTCTCGTATTCGCTTCCTTCAAAGATGTCTAGACGCCAGATGTCCCCGTCTGTCAAGCCTTCTACCAGCGTCCCTCGAACTTCGCTCTCTGGCGCGGACGGTATAACGGCGGGGTAGTCTGCGTTCTTGACATGTCGACGCTGGTGTGTGTGAAGGATCGCGGGGCGGACAGATAAGAGAGAGGCGTGTGCGGGTGTGGGTGGTGTTTGCGAGCCCCAGATGACGCGATGAAGGACGGGAGGGGCCATCAGGGTGCCGTAGAAGAATGCTGTGTGTGACATAGTCGCGCCTTGGGGTGCGAAAGAGCGGTGCGTGGTGGGAGATGAGCGTTCGGGATTATGATGGACGTAGAGCGATGTCAGGTCCATCTAGTGACTGAGCTGGAAAGGTGACGAGTATCCACGTGGGGGTCGAGATGGGATGGAGATAAGGAGATAAGTTTAAGCTCAGCGGAAGCTAACACGTGCCACCCATGCTTAGATCGAATCTTAGATCACGCCGATTGACGCGGCGGTGCGGAACGCATTTTCTCCTTTTCGGGTATCAACAACGGCTTTCTGCTCAAGCCGTGTCCGCGTCGCGTGCTTAGTACCAGCGGACAATCAAGCCGTACACCTTGTTTGCTATTACGACGGTGTCGAGTCAGCCTGCTCCTGTTTGTCAAACCCCAGCAAATCGACAAACCTCCGCCCAGTCCGGCACTCCCGCGGCGCCCGGGCAACCACAACACGCCCAGAGGTCCGCAGGATTCACTCGAGCTCAGACGAGACGGAAGCCAAGATGTTCTTCCTCAATGCTATTATCAAGAATATCGCGCCGCTGTTCATTGCGACAAGCCCAATCACCAGCTATGCGGACCAGATATACTCGATTCACAAGACGCGCAGCTCTGCTGGCTTCTCGCTCGACATACCGCTGATCATGCTGGTTGCTAGTATATTGAAGTACGTCCTCTTGATTCTCCCCCTTTCGCACTTGCTGACCGAACTGCACAGAATCTTCTACTGGTTCGGCGCGCACTTCAGCACCTCGCTCCTCATCCAAGCCCTCCTCACAATCTTGGTGCAAATCCTCCTCCTCCACGTCGCCCTCACGAACCGCGCACCGCCTGCACACACACATCAGCCCTTCCAACACGCCCTCGCCCCCGCGCCCCGGCGCCGTCCATATGACTTCTGGCAATGGCGCAGCACGCGCCCGTACTGGAGCTTCGTCACATACTTCACCGCTGGCTTGCTGGTCTTGCACTTGCTGCTGAGTCCAACGAGGCTGTTCATACCGTACACCGATCTTCTGGGCATGATTGCGCTGGCCATTGAAGCTACTCTTCCGCTCCCTCAGCTTATGGCCAACTGGCAGCGGCGCGGATGCAAGGGTTTCCGGCCGTCAGTCATTGCAAACTGGGTTGTCGGTGATACATTCAAGATGTGGTTCTTCTTTGCGAGCGCGAAGGGAGAGGTGCCGTGGGCATTCAAGGCGTGCGGCATCTTCCAGGCTACGTGTGATGCGGGGCTGGCGATTCAGTACCTGGTCTGGGGCGATGGGCCGGAGGGTGTGAGTGGTGCGGGAAGAGAGAAGGAGTTGAGGAGTCCGCCGCCGGAGAGGGATGGATTTGCGATGGAGAAGATGGGTGAAGGGTTGGGAGCGGGGAGTGTGGGGATTGAGATGGGTCAGCTGCCGGCATACGAGAGGAGGTGATGTTGGATGGGAAGATGTAGGAAGTACATACACAATGAAACAAGCAAGAACGCTAAGGTACAAGGTGCGTTGTTTAGAATGCCGCGAAGCCAAGTGCCTATCCCACCTATCCTCGTGCTCATTGCTTACTTGACCCTCTCAGAAGCCCTTCCTTCCACCCTTCCATCCCTTCTCATCATCTCCCTGCAGCTTCCGGACCGTGTCCCTCCTTTCGATTGTCAACCCCTTCAGCATGTCACGTACTTCCTCAAACTGTTCTTCGAAGTCCTGTATCGCCTCATGCAGTCCTTGGCCCTCCTGTATAATATCCTTCAGATCGAGCTCGCTCATCTCATTCACCTTGGCCGACTTCAGAGGCTCCATCACAGCGGCTAGGTGCGCGAGGTGCGTCGACAGCGTAGCACCGCGGCGGTTGAGCGCGTTCACGCGCGACGGCAGGTTGATGGTTGAGGGAGAGAGCGTGGGGTCTCTGGCGCGTGTGTACGTGCGCATGCCCATGGGGGAAGGTGGGGCGGCGATAAGATGCCTCAGGTGGTGGATGTCTTCGAAGGAAGAGAAGGGGCTGTTCGACATATAGGAGATGTGTGTGCCCCAGCTGCTGCGGTGGTGGCGGCGATTGCGTCGTGGGCCGATGAAGGGAGAGTCGAAGGGAGAGTCGAACATTTTGTCGGTGTTGGTGATATGGTACGAGAGATGGGGCGATGGATGACGGATGGGACGGACAATGTGTTGGTGCTTAATATGCCTTTGACTTGGTTTGAAATGTTGCATTGCATTCTGGTTGCTTGCATCGATTGTTGTTTGGTTTGTGATTTGCTGATCTCGAAGCACAAGAATGCTGCTTGCAAACTGGCGTTATCACGACACTTACAACCACTCACCGTAACAACCGACAAGAACAATAAGCCTGACCGGTCAATAGTCAATCCTAGGCCTAAGAAAAGTGTGTATACCTTGACAGATCCTGTCTTGAAAACCTGCGACTCCCCAGATTTGGCATTCTCCATACCTGCCCCGACGGCGAGAGGGTCTGATGCATTGATTGATTGATTTAACTTCCTATGTGAGTCTGAGGCTATGAAAGACAAGAGGAGCAGTAGCTACTCTGATAATGCAAATATTTAGTTACAAGAGGTTGAGTTCAGTGGGAGTACACTCAGATCCTCCCCACATCACCACATCATTCTCTAAGACCAAGAGTCCTCGTCTATGCCGCTTGCTCCCTCCAGGCACAGATCAACCCCATCCGGGATCTCCCACCTGACCCTGACTGCCTAGCAGTGTCTGTCAAGAGCAGCCACTTCAGCTTCCACATCTACAACTTGTATAATGAGCATGACCAGCAAGGCTCTCCCACTCACACAACTAAAAGGCTGCTCATTCAGAGGACACTTCCACCATCTTCCCTTCTGCTAGGAGACTTCAACATACACCACCCCTGGTGGGACCACCAGTCCCCTGCTGTCTCTCTAGGAGCAGACTCATTTGGGGAGTGGATTGAGTTATAGCACTTGGAGCTCCTCAACACCCCTGGCACTGGCACTTTTCTCCGGTCCAACATGAGCAGAGAGAGAGTGTCCTAGACCTGTCTTGTGTCACCCAGGACCTGGCTGCCAGAGTGGAAGACTGGCAAGTGCTGCCCAGCATTGGCTCTGACCACCATGGCATCCTGTTTGCCATCCAAGGTCCTTCCAGGCACAACACCAACCCTCTTGCTGAGACCCCAAGGTACAACACCAAGAAGACTGGAACCTCTTTGCCATCTGGGCCACTGGTCGTGTCCCAAACTCGGGTATCACGCCCAAGTGGCTGACGAAGATCTTGGTTGGTGGAAACACCTTATGCTTTCTGATCCGAGCGGCTGGTGGAGGCATTATTGCTGGAGGGGGTAGCAAGAAAAGCGCAGATCTAGTCAAAGCTATGATCTTGACTGGACTCTGCTTACAAATGGTCATCTTCGCATTCTTCGTAGTTGTGACAGCAATTTGGCACAAACGGATGAATGCCACAGGTCGTGGAAAGCGGGAAGATGAACACTTCGATTGGATTCGATGCCTCAGTATGTTGTATACCGTCAGCGGTATCATCACGGTCAGACATCTATTTCGGGTCATTAAGTACGCTGCGGATGGTAACTTGGTCGACACGGCGGAAAGATTGCGCTAACAAACGCGACAAAAGACGGATATCTGCTCGCGAACGAATGGTCCATCTGCATCTTTGACGCTATGCTGATGGTTGTTGTCCTAGCCATCTGCTGCGCTTGGTTTGTCGGCGACGTCCTGCAGCAGCCAGCAGGTCAAGAGGGAGACATTTTGAGATGATACATGCTGTGCCATAATGTAACGTTTCACTCCAGAAAGTCACAGTCTGGAGCAGTTCGGGAAGCTCTGAATGTGATCGAGGACAAGATCTGGTAGGGATTTCGAAACGCTACTGATGGGTTGCATTGAAAGAGATGAGGGTGCAGGAGGGTGTCAGTTTTCTTCTAGTCATTAATGGCAGTGCTAACGAGAGATTTTAAGGCATTTATGTGCATCCTAAACTAGACCGCGGATTTTGCACTCTCACCATCTTCAACGTAATGCGTGGCGATCGTAGTCTCGACGTGTATGTGGCCCTTTTCATTCGACAGGCTTGGCGAGCCGGACTCGTCTGGCAAGCTGCCGGTGACGAGGGAGTCTTCTGAATCGTGTGGTGTATGTCTTGGCCTCCTTGGTGACATCGCACTCGCAGAATGCCCGTTCGTTCGCGTATCGTTCGTCTTGTGTCGTTCCGATGTGAGTTCGTAGTGCTTGCCGTAGCTGCTTGTTGCGTTCTGTGTGTTGCCGCCAATAAACATGGATCGCAAAGCTGGGAGGCATGACGCGATAATGGCTATGGCGGTTTCGACCATGGAGACAGTGCAGGTCAACATTGTTTCGTTGAGGTGGGAATAGTATGCACGGATGACTGTCGAAGTGTCAGTACTACTGTGTATGCCACTTCGTCGCTCAGGGAATACTCACTGCTTGAGATAATCACGAAGACGCCAAGTGCGAATACTGCGGCAACACCAAGCTTCTGCTTCAACTTCATCTGCAACCTCATGACCATAGTGATCGGAAGAGATATGATAATAGCATCGCTGATGATATTGACTGCTCCAAATTAGCAAAGGCGACGGATTGGTCGACTAAGGCTATCTTACACAAAATGGTCATCCAGTAGTTGGCTTCAGCAGCTTTTGGGTTGCATTGATCTGTTTGCAATCAGTGAACAGCCTCAAACTGGATAAAAGAGAGCCTACAATCTGGGTCTGCGGACCACCTCTTATCGTATGGGTAGCATTGGAAGAGGATGTCGAAGAAGATGACGAGAAACGTAACGGCTAGGCCAGCAAGGGCGACGTTGTATACAGCGATCAACTTCGAGCCCGGCGCAGCAAGACGCTTGTAGAACAGCACAAGTGCAAACTTGACGGCCCACAGAGATGTGACGTATAGAACAGACCCGGGCACGATCATCTGCATGATGCTTTTGAGGTTTTCCGGAGTCACACTCGCCATGTCGCCGAGACCTAGATTCCACATATGCTGTTGGATGCCCAAATCACCGATGAGACACAACAGAGCCAGCACGATAAGGCCATCTTCGATGGCCAAACCCCCAAACTTTGTCCATCGCGTGTAAATGCGAAGGCAGACGAATGGCACGACAGCAACGGTACAGATGTACCAGGACACCTGCGGCACGATCAGCCCTGGACTATGACAGCAACGGTGAACAGCACTTACTACTTGACCTATGCCAGAGTTGCCCATCGTCGTAGATTGTAACCTTGCAGCTAGATCACGCTTCCCTGCTTGTTCAGATTTGTGGGATCGACGGGGTGTGGATAAGAGAGATCAGAGCAGGGAGTGCATCCTGGTATACATGAGTCCCGCGAACTCCTGAGAGGCTCCAGTTATCCAACCTCCTTACGGAAATCCCACTTGCGGGAATCGAAAAACTAGCATTTTGCCCTTAGCGGAGTTATCGAACGATTAGTGGTCGCGCATGAACGATGGTGTTTGTTGAAACCTGCCCTGCCGAACCATCGCGGACGAAACGCTTATTGGTTTGGCACAACCTTGGGACCGTCGGTTGCTTCCGGGAACAAGACGGGATTGTTTTCGGGACGTTACCGTGACGAGGATGATTTGCGTACAAATCGGTAGCCTATCGCTACAGCTGCCGCGTCGCGGGTGTCTACTTCCAACCCGTTCGTGTCCCACTGTTTAAGGTGCTGACTCGGAGGATAACCCATCACCAGGGCATCTTTGACAGCTCGATCCTACTACTTCGTACCTCGTCTTTACCCTGAGTCACTGTAGGCTGCGCTTCGCCGAGGTGTGACTTGAAAGCAGAGTCAGCATAGGGTTATTGGTGGAGACTGATTGATTAATTGATTGATTGGTTGGTTTAACGTCCTATCTGAGTCTAAGACGATTTGTTGGTGGAGACGGCAGAGTGGCAAATGAATCGACACTTCATTAATCCACCGCAGTTCAGCCGGCAAAACGAGGCTGCATTCATGCTGGTTCGCGTCAAGGGACCACAATTCCTGCCCTTATGTCATGCTACCGTAAGGAAGCACTGTCAATAATGTCATTAGTTGTCGCCCAAGAGTCCTGATAGGTACCAGTCTCCGCTCTTGTACTTGCCGGGTGCACTGCCTCCAACAAAGAAATTTTTCAGGGTCTATTAGAAGGGCCACTTAGTGTGCATCTTGTACCAACTGGTCGAGCAGATCTCAAAGCAATTTCCGATCCGATTGGAAGACAAATCGCTCAACACGTGGCTCGCATGGGGTACATATACGATCGTCAACCTTAAGAGTCGAACTTCGCCTAGGCCTTGTATTCTTCCTATCTATTAACCATACCTTCGGTACAATGGGTCTTCTCCACGGGCTGATCAGCCTATTGCTTGGGATCTGCATTGGTGTGGAATGCAAGAACCCACACCCTGCGAGGAACACCGTAGATGGAGCACCGCAAGTCACGCTCAGTCAAGGGACTGTTGAAGGGTTCCTCGATCTCCACAATAACTCAGTATTTCTGGGAATTCCCTTTGCTGACACAACGGGAGGACAGAACCGGTAAGTTACGAGTACTATGAATGACTCCACACTCATACTTACGGCTATCCAGGTGGAAGGCCCCTAAAAATGTTCCCAAAGCAGCGAAGCAGTCTGTCTTCAACGCAACGCAGTATGGCGCAACATGTCCGCAGGCCATCTCCGGCACACTCTTCTCGCATCAGGGCGAGGACTGCTTGAATCTCAATATCTGGGCACCATCTTCAGGTTCGAGTCTGCCGGTCTTCGTATACATGTACGGAGGCGCCATGGTTACCGGCTCGAGCAGCAACCCTCAATTCCAGGGCAACAACTTTGCTCGCAAGGGCGTTGTCTTCGTTAGCTTCAACACTCGTGAGAGTATCTTCGCGTATCCCAATTCGGCCGAACTCGAGAGTACAGCCGAGTCACAGAACTTTGGTATCCTCGATGTTGATAAAGCTATGGACTGGATCCACGAGAATATTGCCGGTACGTAAACGTCGAGAGTCTCTTGATTTCAAGAACCTAGTACTGACGATGTGTGTGTGTGTCACAGCCTTTGGCGGTAACCCGGATCATATTGTGTTCGGTGGTCATTCGTCCGGTTCTGTCCAGGTCGACCACTATCTTTGGAACCATCCCGATACCTGGCTTGTAGGTGCTGTTCAGATGGCTGCCAATGCGAAGTCGGGCCCGGCAGTAGCCCCTGTAAACCAGGCTCTTGATGTTGTAGCAGCCGAGGTCGGCTGCCCGACTGGCGCTGGTCAATTGGAGTGCCTGCGGAAGGTTGAGCTTTACGACTTCCAGACTGAGAAGTTCAACGCCACCTACAACACCTGGTTCACCCCAGTTGTCGACAACATCACACGTTATCAAGACTACGAGAGCCGATTTGCAGCAGGAAAGTACGCTTCACAAGTCCCACTCTTGACTGGTAACTCAGACGGCGAGGGTGCGGTTTTCTCCCTCGTTTATGGCGCAGAGAACACAGACTTCGATGCTTGGCTGGACACCTTCGACGCTGATGTTGCTGAGATCCCCAAGGACCTTCTCTTGGCCGCGTACAACGCCTCGGAATATGCGACTGTCTCTCAAATGAGTGGTGCACAATACGGAGATGCGCGATTCTTCTGTCCAGTTGATTACCTCCGGGACCTAAGAAGCACCACGCAGGACACATGGACCTATCGCTTCTTTGGTGACTACTCCAACGTTTGGGGACTGCCGGTCTCTGCACCCACTCACGGCACCGAGATTCCGTTCTTCCTTGGTGGCAATGAATGCTTCGATGCCATCAGCGACGTGACGGAAGCAGAGCAGGCACTGGCTGACTACCAGAACGATTGGTTCGTGTCATGGATCAAGAACCCGTCCGCGGGCCCCGGATGGGATAAGGTCACACCAAAGTCGGGGACGATTGCGAAACTTGGCGTACCGGGCAACGAGCTTGCAATTGAGCTTGCATCGACTGCTGACTTCAATGGACGATGTCAATCAGTAAGTCGCTTCCTAATATCATTTAGATAGTTTTCAGCTAACTTACTATCAGGTGTACAACCCATACCTCCCTAAATATCCTGTCATCCAGGATGTGGGTGGAGCGGGGGGCACGATCGGTAATTAATGTAAGATGAGTGTAAGGAAGGTTTGCGCGGCTCACGATCGGTAATTAATGTAAGATGAGTGTAAGGATGGTTTGAGCGGCTCACGTTGAGAGGGTGAATTTGAGCTGTCGCGCAAGAGATTTCGAGGTGCGAGCTACGTCGTTGTACGATGCCTCGGCAAAAACAAATGCGATGTGTACAAACCGCTTGAAGCTTGCGAACATCTGCCATTGCAAGCAAACCGCCTCACATTATCATCCCAACGCGCAACTTTACTGAAAACTCGGTACAATGCCTACCGAAGCTACCCAAACTTGGGCACATTCAAGGGGAGGATACCCACCTACTGAGCGCTAATGTCAGATTGGACCACTCTTCCCCCGCTTTCTGCACTGTTACCCCAGGTTTTCGGCTCAGGCAGATGGCTAATATCTTCCGAGCATATGTCTTTGTGCAGACAATACAAATGAAGCCGGTTCGCAGCCATGGTGCTCTCTTCAAGTCACGCACTGTTGAGTCGCACAGTACCGAAGACATCGCCTTACCCCTCGGTCGGCAGCTGCAATGGACTTCTTTCGGTGTCTGACAGGCGCCGGTATTCTGCTTGTCCCCTTCACTTCTGCGTACGCTAGCATTGTTCATATGAGCGACGGCATGCTAATGGATGTAGTTTTGTAGACTACGGCTCAGTTACACCCAAGTCGTATTCACAGCGAGCGACATTGTCAAGTACCGGACTGTCATCATGGACCAACACAAGCTTGACACTATCGCCGTCCAACCCACTCGTTACGCTTGACTACGGATTCGAGGTAGCTGGGTTCCCATTCTTCAGCGTAGCTGCTGTTTCCGGACTCGTGCAGATCGAGGTCAAATACACTGAGGAATTTTCCGGGTTGCTTCAACCATATTCAGACGGACCGTGGACGTTTTCGAATGGACTGTCGAACACTTTCCGCGTGGAGACTTTCAACGTCACGAGCACAGGCTATATTGAGAGCTTCTTTGTTCAAGGAGGCCAGCGATGGCAGACCGCAAGGCTGATAACGAACGGCTCTGTGACGATCAATCGCTTGGGATTTCGCTTAACAAGCTCAAATGTGAACGTGGATAAGCTGGCGGGTCACTTGAAGACATACGACGAGATTTACGATCGCGTTTTCGACCTTGGCGGTCGTGTCGTTCAAGCAGCATGCATAGACGCAGGGAACGCCCCTTCTACTTGGGAGATCACAGATGATGGGGCGCTCATTCGAGGTCAGGCTAGTGCTCAGTCGTCCCTCGGAGTTACTGCATCAAACTACACACTCGAGTTCGATATGAAGATTGTCCGCGGAGGCGCTGGATGGAGGGTCGCGAGCGCGATTCAGCCACTCGGACCGTACTTCGTGCTTACGTCCGAGTATACCGAGCACAACACCTTCGCGAACACCAACCGAACACTCTTGCCTCCCAATACGTTAGCATTCAACAGTGGATGGGGTCTAATCAATCAAAGCACGCTATCTACACCAGAAAACCAGTATTTTACCGTGAACAAGACCATCAAGGAGAACACGTGGTACCATGTGAGCACCACCATCGAGGCCACCGGCTATCGAGTCCGTCTGGACGGGAACGAAATCATTTTTGTGCCGCTGCCTTCGCCCGCTGCAGCAGGAATCTTTGGAACAGCTTCTCCATACGAAGGCACATGGGGTCTTGGAGGCATGCAGGACCACATCACTTACCACAAAGACGTGACTGTCACCGCTAGAAATGGCAGCATTGTATATTCCAATTCTCTGACCACCGAAAACACTTTGGCTGAATATCAGGTCGCACCTCTTGATCACTCGGTCTGTCTCGATGGTGCGAAGCGGGACCGCCTTGTGTGGGCAGGAGACTTCTACCACACTGTGAGGGTCGTCGCGCTCTCTTCTGCTCGATTTGACTACATCCTGGGCTCGATCGAGTACATACTGAGCTATCAGCTTGACGATGGCCCTTACGCTGGTTTTGTGCCAATCTCTGCCAATCTCGGATCTCGCCCCCAGTACAAGGAAGCAAACATTGCCAACTATGCCGGACTCGTCGACTATCAAGACCTGTTCCTTACGGGAGTCGGCGAGTACTTCCGCTATACTGGCAACGTTGACGCTTTGTCGCCATACTGGGGGCAAATCAAGAAGCTTGCGACTGCCAGGCTGTCCTTCATCGACCTTACCTCTGGCCTTGTTGCAGGTAGTCCCCAGGTTTCAAACCCTTTCAGCTTCCTTGGACCTGCGAACGGGAGCGCGACCACCGGGCTTTTTGCATACATGCTCGACAAGATCGCGCCACTTGCAGATGCACTCGGAGACGAGGAAGCTTCAACTTTGTACTCGCAAACCGCGTCGCAGTTACGCGAGGCTCTTAACCGAGAGTTGTGGAACGATCAACTTGGAACATACTCGCTATCAACTGCCTCACCAGGCAACTTCTCGCTGACGGGCATTGCGTGGGCAATCCTATCAGGTGCTACGAATGATACTCAGGCAGCGTCATCCATTGCGAGGCTCGAAGAGCTACGTTTTGCCGTGGGATTCAAGACCATCTCTAGTGACGTAGAGACGGACGACTACCAGCTCGCTCCCAACCCATCAGGCTTTTTGCTAGAAGCTCTGTTCAAGGCTCGCCGCGACTTCGGAGTGAACAGCACAGCTGCCGTCACGCATCTTCTTGACAACCTATGGGGTAGCATGGTCAACAACAACGAGTACTACTCCGGCGCGAGCTGGGAGTATGTAAAGCCCGATGGGTCCCCCGGCATTGACTTATTCACCAGTCTTGCACACCCGTGGGGTGCGGCGCCTACCTATGTCTTGCCCGAATATCTTCTTGGTGTGGCGCCGACCTCGCCTGGGTACAGGACTGCTAACATTACGCCTATGATTGGGTATTTGAACTTGCCTAAAGTAAGTGGCAGGGTGCCAACACCGAATGGGCCAATTGAGGTAGCATGGACGGTGGATGATACCAGTGTTGACCTTACGATCGTCATACCGACGGGCATATCAGCTACGCTGCAGCTGCCGTCTGGTATGCGTGTGGGTGAAAACGACTCGCATGCTAGTCAGCTAGAGGCTTCTTGTGGAATGACGCGGTTCAAATTCGGTTTGCAGTGATTGGGGTTGAGTATTTACGATCGACTAGTTGCAACCCGCTATAGTGACTTTAACAAGTTGCTGACCCCCCTGTGTAAGAACCATGTTGTCGTCTACATATAATGTGATTGATTGATTGATTGATTGTGTTACGATCAAAGGGCAACCCGCAACAACACTGAACGAACAGGACTACGCAACGATACAAGAGAAGCCGAGGAACTGTAGTATCGATCAACCCAAGCAGTGGGCCGCGTCGGCAACACTTGGCACGAGCAGTATACTCGGTACAATCGGTATACTCGGCACGTATACTCGGTATGATCGGTATACTCGGCACGGTCAGTATACTCAACACGAGCAGTATACCGGTGTTACGATTCGTGCCTTAAGCAAAGCTCGTAGACACTAGTCAATACAATACTCTGCTCATGTATATAGCAAGTAGACACGCTGCCCTTATGGCATCATGTTCAACCTCGTCAATCAACTTTGTTATTGGAATCTCACCTGCTCTCGAGCCAGACAGTATACTCTGTACTACTCATTGCAACCAGTCGCCATGGTCTTTGACTAGATGACTACCCCCTGATTATCACGGCGGTTTATCACGGTCAAACCTCTGCCGCTCCGAGCTCGCTCAGTGATAACCAACCCCCGACGGCTTTCTGTACCTCTGCTCATCCCCGAGAACCAATCGAATAGTGTCTACGAGCTTTGCTTAAGACACGACTTCAACATTTTGAACACCCCCAAGATGAGTGGAACGTCAGGAAGCCGCGTTACCCCTAGTAGCTCTCGCTCCAACGACTGGGACGACGCGAACGCCAACGCTGTCACTGCCAATACGATGAACGTCAGTAAGCCCGACCTCTACCATGGAGACCGCAACAAGCTCGACGACTGGCTTATTCAATGGGACCTCTTCTTCCTGTTCCAAGGCGAGAGGATACCAGAGAATCGACGTGTCACGCTCGTCGCGAGTTATATGAGAGGCTCAGTCTTCAAGTGGATCAAGCCGTACCTCCAACAGTACAGTCAGGGGCACGCGCCCAACGACGTCGATGCCTGGATGGCTGACTTTGACCTGTTCAAGAATAAGATCAGGCCTATCTTCGGAGTATCGAACAAGCCTACGATTGCGCGACGCAATATACAGCGCATTCGTCAAGACAAATCGGCTGCCGATTACGCTGCAGACTTCCAGCAGCTCGCTGCTAGCACTGGCTGGGACGATACTGCGTTGATGACAATGTTCCGTCAGGGGCTCAAGCCTAAGGTCAAGGAAGAGCTAATGCGTACCGGCGCTCGCACTGACAATCTTAACGCACTTGTAAATACGGCTATTGAGATTGACGTCAAACTGTACGAATTGCAGCAGGAGCTACGCGACGACCCACGTCACCGTGCTCTCAGTGTTGACAAGCGTTCCCCATGCAGCACGTGGCATGATAACCAGTCCTACAAGGGTAACTGCTACCAACCAAACACTGATCGACGTGTTCACAGCAACACTCAAAGCGGATACTACGGACCAGAAGCTATGGACCTATCCAACATCAACAAAGGACCAGAGCGTTGGAATCAGAAGAATAGGGGCAGCAAGCACGACAAGTCCAAGACCACCTGCTACAGCTGTGGAAAACAAGGACACTACGCCAGGGAGTGTTGTACAAGCAACAAGGTTGTTTGACAGTTAAACGTACTCACCAGTGGACAGGGTACCACTGACGACAGTGGCAAATGGAATATCCTCACTGACGATATGGGCGAGCGCAGCAGAATGAGACAGTGCGGTAGGAACCAACGACGCCACATCCACCAGGATAACAGGCATAACCAAGAACTACGCAAACGGTCCAACGACATTGCCGAGATCAATAGACACACGGCGGACTACCGACTTTCCACAAACAGACTTGGTAATGAGGAGGCTTTTTTAGGCCAGCGCCTACAACCTCCGCAACACGGTTCCTTAACGTCTGTAAGGGTATCTGTGACAGCGAGCTTAGTAACAATGGGGGGTGGTCCCATAAGATTAATTGCTACCATTTTCCTGGCCATTGTGTGCCCGATTATCTATGCGCTCTCGTCCGTACCACGCTAGCGTCCCAATGGGTTAGCGCCATCGTCCCGACACGTGACAGCCTACTTCCCTACAGCACCATGACCCCGTTACAACTATCTCCTCCCCTCTATGACTGCTGTCCCAGCAGTAAGTGGTCCATGCAGCATAGCTGTGTCGGTGACGTTTTCTGCTTGCATGCCATCCTCTGTTTTGTTGTGTTTTCAGGTATAGGTGAGAGAGAGCTGTCCCCATAGTAACCTGGTGGCCTTGTTGATAGGAAAACATTGCCTGACCGTTAATTTCTTGTTTCTGCTCTTCAAGCCCTTCTCGGTCCAACACAGCATCCCACATTCTTGCTTCTTCCATCACCATGTCGTCAATCCCCCATTGCAGTGGAGGCGTTCCGCCTGTTGTCCTGGTAAGTTATCAATATACTTGCGTTCCGACTGCAGTAACACAGCGTGTAGCCATCGCCTATTGCACAACGTGTTGCTCCCTCTCTTGCTCCTCGACACAATGTCTGCCTTCGTTGTGCAAAGCATATTCGCGACGGCCTGATCCAGTGTAACTGCCAGAAGTTCCGCAAGTGCGACCGCTGTTCGCGCCTGAAGAAGGCATGCCTTGAACTCCCGCAGCATTCCATCCGCGCGTGGAACACCCTGGTGCTCTCGTATGAGCACTTGCGCGATGTAGGGCCCGACAACCACCACAAGCACAACGAGTGGGAGCAGGCATGCCGCCGGTGGATTGCCGATGTCAAAGCCACCGAACGTGGTCTTTCCAAGCGCGGTGGTACCCGCAAGTCCAAGGGGGATGAAATCCAGCTCTTACAGGTGGATGCTACCACCAGGCTGGCGGTGGCAGTAGAGGGCATCCTCGATGTCCTCCGTGCTCAGGTATGTTTCCCCTTTTTTCTCTTTTTTTTTCCAGGTGTGTTGCCATTGTCCTAACGGCGTTCAGGCCGGGTACAAGCTGCTTGGCGAGCTCGATGCGCCGACTGTTCCTGCTCCTCGTCACAGCCAGGAGTTGTCCTTTTCCTACCCGGATAACCACAATCGGGGTGGTGATGTTGATGAAGGTGGCGGCGGCAGTTCTGGTGGGAGTGACAGTGGGGAAGAGGATGACCTATCCTCTGACTTTGCCTCATCCCTGTCGGTAGAGCCCACTCCTACCCCAGTCTCCCAAGGACGTGGTCGCCCTTGCAAGCAGGCCCCCGGCGCTGCTACAATGCCCACAAAGCCCGGTCGTCTCGCTAGCAAGCCCAAGCCTCCTCTCAAGCGATTGTCGTCGCTGCGCCGCAAGCCCAAGTCGCCGGCGGGGAGCACGGGTGTCGCCCAAATCGTTCCGCTCGCCAAGCGTAAGCTTCGCTCTGCTGGTTGCGCCAAAGGGGTGGGTTCGGCAGATCTGACAATGTCTGGTGGCTTGGGCCCCCCTGGAGTTGAGCAGGAAGATGGTATGACGGACAGTTTGGAGGATGACTTGGTGCAGCCCACTCCTACGCCAAAGAGGTCTAGGCGGTAGTGCGTTGTGCCGTCGTGTTGCTGGTTGTGCGCTGTCGCCTTGCGTGGATCTGTATTACATCTGTACACTAGTCTTTAAGAGTTTGTCTTTCTCTCGAAGTCTTTAACTAGTAGTTCGTCAATGTCCTTGCTTGCAACCCATTTGTTATACTCATCTGGCCATCCAAGCCACTTAACAAGGTATTGCACATTTCTCTTTCCTTTTTTTGCCAAGACGACTTTGACCTCATAGCGGTTCTCCTGCGTGTCGCCGTCGTCCACAACTACAGGGCCTGGTAGTGTCTCAGGTTTACCCGCCCGGTGGTTATACGGCTTTAGTCGCGAGGTGTGGAATACTGGGTGGATAGGCAGGTTGCTTGGCAATGTTATGCGGTATGCTTGTGTGCCAACCGCCTCTTCCACTTTAAAGGGTCCAACCCAGCGTGGCGCCAGCTTCCTGCTAGGGACTCGCAATCGAAGGTGCTTTGTTGACAACAACACTTGATCCCCTTCTTTAAACACTTGGGGTCTGTGGTGAGCATTGTAGTATGCTTGTTGGTACTCTGTTGCTATTTTCCAGCTTTGCTCGAGGCCTGTTCTTATGTTTGTCAACTCATGAACCCTTTCCACCGCTTTGGGGACTCTAGCAGCCACGGCGCGCTCGCAATCGAGCCACGGGTGGAACCCATAGCAAGCAAAAAATGGGGACATGTTGATTGTAGGTTGCGTTGAGTTATTGTACGCAAACTCAGCCAGCGGCAGTAGGCTTGCCCAACTGTCTTGCTTGCTGTCAGTGTATGCTCGCAAGTATTGTTCCAGCGTCTGGTTCTGTCTGTCTGTCTGCCCATCTGTTTGGGGGTGGAAGGCGGTGCTTAGCCGTCGTTTCACCTTTGCTGCGAAGCAGAAGTCTGACCAGAATTGAGACATGAAGACACTGCCTCTGTCTGAAACTATGCCTGTCGGGAGACCGAAGAAACGCATCACTTGGTCTACAAACAGGTCTGCTAGCTCAGAAGCAGTAACAGTCTTTGTTGTGGGGATGTACCGAGCCATTTTTGTATATCGGTCAACCACAACCCATATCACATCGTAAACACACCCATTACGCTTGCTTGGGGGCAACCCCGTGATGAAATCCATTGTGAGTTCTTGCCAGGGGCCTTGGGGCTGGGGCAATGCATGCATAACGCCAGGAGGTCGCTGCTTTGGCGTCTTGGACTCTTGACATGCAATGCAGGAGTTGATGTATTCCTTCAAGTCCTGTTCCATATTGAGCCAGTAATAGTATCGTGACAGTAGTTCCAGCGTCTTGGCCCTGCCAAAGTGGCCTGCTAATGGATTGTCATGGTACAGTTTGAATAATTTGGCTTTCAGAGCTGGTTCTGGGGGAACATATATCCGGTTCCTGAATTGAAGTAAGCCTGATGCATCAAATGCCCATTGTGCAAGTGTCTTGCTCGTGCTCTCTTCTCCGTTCGCAGGCTGAGCGCTGCGATTCCGCAGTCAAGTCACCCACGGATCTGCACCACCAACACCAACTTCTGGTCGACACCTATATTGTTCCCCAGGCCTCCTGGCATCCCAAATCCATCAGAATTCATCTCAGCACACTCCCAAGAGCCATTCCCTCCATTTTCAGACCCTCCAGCCTTCTGGTTGTGGAGTGCAGCCCAGGTGCAGTCCTGTTGACTGTTCTGCCCCTCAATTGCAGAATTTTCTGGTCAGATCCTCTGCAAACAGCCTGCAACACCACCATTTGGCCCTCCCAGGCCTCCCCCAGGCCCTGCACCATTGATATTTCATCAGCATCCATCTCAACACACCTCAAGCTATCACCTCCTCCAATTTTGGACCCTCCAGGCCATTATTGAGCTGTGCATCCCAACTGCAAGCCTCCTGCTCCTGACCGGAAATTTTGAAGTTCTTGTGGCTGGACACTGCAAATAAGCGAACCAATCAGGCCTCAGCAACCCCCACAGGCCTCATCAACCTCTCAGGCCTCAGCAGCCCTGTACCCTGACCAGAAAATTAGCCACCTTTCACCACACCATTAGCTCCACCACCAAAACAACCACTACCTGAACCACAACACCTTCAAACAACAATAACTCCACCACCCACCACTGCTTTTTGGCCTGGTTTTCTGCTATCCCTCCAGAACATCAGCCTCTACAACACAACACCAACAAAACAACCAACTCAAGCCTTTTAGCTTGGGTTTCTGCTGTCCCAACTTCAATCTCTCCCCAGAGGTCTACTTGATAGGCCAGTAAGGTGTGAAAGAAGGAAGGCCAAGTAAAACTGAGCACTCTCATTGTAAGTACCTCCCCTACTGGACAGAAAGAGCTAGTTTTGGCATTGTGTACTATGGATCTTCCCAAGGACCCTGGAACCCTGGACCCTGGAAACCTGGACCCTGGATCCCTGGACCCTGGTTTCACACTCTCTGACCCCATGGAGATCCCCAGCTCCCCAGATCAGCTGGCAGCTCCCATGGACTCTGGGCCCCCCAGGCCAAGACTCATCATCAAGCCTAGGTCAACTGTTCCCCTGAAGAGGTCAACAAACAACACCAACCCTTCACCACCTCCCCAGAGGGTGCCACCACTCAGTGGGCCTTTCAGATTCCAGCATCAGACTGCAATCCCTACCACCACCCTCCCTACAGCTCACTCAGCCAAGGAAGCCATCTCCATTGCCAGGAACATGGTTCTCCAAGCCTCCACTCTTGCAGACACCATCCAGGAACAGACCAGACTGCTGGATCTGCTGGAAGTCTTCAGGGACTACACTGAGAACAACAGGGTGAACAAGCATGGTGTCTCTGTTCTGGCCTCTCAAGTGTCCAGTCTGGAGTCTGTGTCCAGGTCTCTTGGATCCAAAGTCAAGCAACTCCAGAAGCCTGCCACTGCCCCT